GGGGGGGGGCAGGTGGTCTTCCGCCGGCCCGGCCACGGCGCAGGCGTGCGTCGCGCCCGCACGCCGCGACACCGCGCTCAGGCGCCGTGTGAGGGAGGCCGGGCCCGGTACAAGGGGGGCGCGGTTCGTCGAAACGGACGCGCAAACCGACCATGCCCCTTGTCGGCCGCCGACCGAGGGGCGGGGGTGGGGCTACGCCGGCTAGGGGCCTCTTATGAGAGCCCCCCTCCGTCCACCATAGGGGCGGGCTCCGGACGAGGGGCGGACGCACACCGTTCCCTGCCGCCGCCGCCCCCTTTTTCCTCGGTCGGTGGCCGACGAGCCGCGAGGGGCGCCGGCCTGCCATCATCGAGACAGCGGGGGGGGGGGGGGGGCGGCAGCGAAGTACGCGCCGTGAACGCTTGGCGAGGGCCGCGCGCCATTCTCCCCGGCCGCCTCGGGGAAGGGCGGTCGGGAATTTTCCGCCCCGCTCCCTCGAGAGGGCGGGCCCGGCCCGGCGCGGTGGTGCGTCCGTCTCCTCCCGCCCGCCCCCTGGGGGGGCGGGGGGGCCTTTCCGGTGGGCCTGATCCGCAGGCAAATGCCGCCGCGCCTCGCCTCGCCCGCGGCGCGTGCGCGTGCGCGTGCACTCGTGCTCGGGGAGAGGCGCCGCCCGCGCCACCGCCGGCCGGCAGGGGCGGAGGAGGTGCCAGTCCACCCTCGAGCGCGGGGACGCGCCCCCGCGCCCTGCCCTCCCGGCGGACTGTATTGTGGTGGTCTTCCCCGGCCTCGGGTGACAAGACATAAAAAAAAAAACAAGCGCGAGCACCGAGAAAATAACCGCCCCCCGAGGCGGCGCCCTCTCCCGCTCTCGCTCTGTCTCTCGCAAGCTTGCGTGCGCGCGCGCGCGCGCGCGCGCGCGTGTGTGAGGTTGGGTGTGGGAGCGGCTGCCGCCTGGGAAGGGGGAGGGAAAATACAGGGGCGGACGAACAGCCTCGGGGCAGGGGGAAAAAGGGGCAGGATGCGCGCGCACCGGCCAGCCGGCGCGGGTATCGCGTTGCCGCCCGGCCTCCGAGGCGGCGGGCGGGGGGGG